TCGAAAGGGCACTCAGTCAGCCGCCCGGCGCTTCACAGGGATCGGCTGTTTAATCAGTTTGATGTGCTAATATGTTTGCCCTGAGATACGCAGCTTGCTGATTCGCTCTCGGCTGCGTGTGCGCCCAGCGTCGACTGTCGAATACGAGACTTGACAAGATTGAGATGAGAGAACATGGAGCCTGGCATAGGGAATGTCTTGGTTCGGATCGCTGCTGCCGTTACATTGTTCAATTTTTGTCCACTCCCTCGGCCGAGCTCGAGTCGAGTCCCAGCACTCAGTCTCTTGCCTCTCATTGATGTGGCCAAGCATGGATGGATTTCTAGAGGAACGGACAGCACCGCGGCGCTCAGTTCAAAAACCACCACCTCCGAATGCCCTTTGCGTGTCCGTACCTTACCGTCGTTTGATATCCTCATGTACGTGTGCATGTGCTCGGCGCAAATTGTTGGCTGGGGCACTAGAGGCGGTCATTTCCACTACCTCCAAGCCGGACCCAAGCACCCCAAGCTCCAACTAACTAACCATCTGCAACCATAACAAAAACAACGAAGCCGTTGTCACTTTTGCTTAGTCCTCTCTTGGTCTTGGTATTGGATCAACTTTCCCAGCTGCTGGGCCGTCCGCCTTGTCGGCGTTGCTCTAGCTCTATGGCCTCGTGTACCTATTTGGACAGTAGGTATTCCGTAGCTAGAACCCATCACAACAGCATAATCCCAGCATGGGCGCGTCGGAGACTTCCTCTTTGCGCACCTTATTATTACCACCTGCATCGTGAAGCCTGTCCTCTCCTGCAGCAAGTGTCATGCCGTGTCCTGTCTCGTCCCTTTGACTTACATCCACACTTGTTGGACGAGACACGCCTTCAACTCAATTCAAAGTGCAGGCTCCCCCCACCCTCCCTCCAACTTCCGGCCGCACCTTACCTTCCCACCCCCTCGTCTTCCATCGTCTCACTTTTACTTCAACTACCTGCCTTGGGCACGGCGGCACAGCAAGAAACCATTTCGAACGAGAGAAAGAACAGACAGACAAGCAGGACAGACCGTGAGGCGGAAAAGAAAAAAAACCTAACCTTGCCTTCCTGTACATCCTCATTTCTCCATGCCGATTCGCTGCTTACAGACCAAGCTGGCCAGGTGCCCTTGCTGTTGTCGCAGAGTTTAGACGGCATCGCTCGCAAACATGGCTCCTTGGTCGTCGCAACGTCATGCTCCACCTCCTCGCCCTCCTACTCTCCGTCAAACTTCCGCCGACCCTGTCTCCCGAATACACAGCCCCTCGCACACTGCACCACCTGGCCAGCTGGGACGACTGCCCGACAGCTATGCGATTTTGGATAACTCCCACCTCCAAGCCGACTCGAGCTCTTCCGAATCCGATTTCCACCCAAGACGTCCGCGCCGTCCGACACATTCCCGCTCCATGAGCCACCCATTCCCCTCGCTATTCTCCAGCAAGAAGAAGCGTCCCGACACCTCCCATGACACCGATTCCGAAGACGATGCGCCCGTCATGACGAAGCCGCCCGGCAACAACAGTAACGCCACACATAAGAGGGGAGGCACCAGCAATGGCAGCAGAGACTTTGCGACTGGCAATTGCATGACCTGCGGCTCTCTCGTGCGCTGGCCACGCGAGCTGAAGGTCTTCAAATGCACAGTCTGTGTAACCATCAACGACATCCACCCGGACCAGCTACCCGCCAGATCCAACAGCGGCCCCAAATGGCTACAGCGCCCGTCCCAAGAGTCGACCTCGCCTCAGAAACAAACTACACGTCCAGCAGAACGATATGAAACCAGGCCTATTTCACTCGACCAGACCAAGAGACTGATCCGGCAATCCATCCATGCACATCTAGCGAGGGCGATTAGGAGGTCCTCGAGCTCAGAGGATGAACAGCGCGAGGTCGCTGCCGAGAGGCACGCAACCCCCAGTCCGTTTCGGGGACAGAGTGAACGGCCTTGCACTTCGAGGACGACAGGAGGTCCACAGCACAGGCGGGAGAAAAGCCAAGGTAATGGCACTGGCTACCTCTTCCCCGAGCAGCCTACGCTCCGTCCAAATCCCAATGTGCATCCGCTGCGTCTGCCCCCAACGGCCCGGTCGTTTTCGTCTTCTTACCCCGAGAGACCCTCCATGCGCCAGCTCACTGCAGACGCCAGTGCTCCACGACCGGCGGGCCCCAGATTCTTGGATGCTGATGATCCAAAGAGGATATTCAGGCCGTTGGAAGACTACATTACCACCTGCTTCAGTTCGTTCCACTGCGTCAACTCTTCGTTCCTGTCTCGTCGGCCCGTCATAGCTACCCGCTCAGGGAGCGAGTCGGCCTCACGGCGGCCCCTTATCCCCAGGCCCGAGCCCAAGTTCGCAGAGCAACATTCTGAATCTCCCGTATGTGACCTCGACCCTAAGATTCTGCTACTCGGTGACTTTGCCGAGAATGGAACGTGGTGGACCGGGAATCAAAGCCAGGGAGGGACACGCCACAAGCGATCGGCCTCACAGCGGATCGAGGATGCCCCTTCATTCATCACGTCTCGTTCGCCGCAGGTGGAATGGAATCAAGTTACGGAGTGGTATAGATCGGTGATCAATGCCGCGGAATCATGGATGTCCATTTACGAGGAGATGACCCGAGATTCGGAGGCAGACCCTCTATCAGCAACAGAGCTCCGAGCCATCGAGTCCCAATTGCTCTTCGGCCAAGACCATACCCACAGGACCCTATTGAAAGCCATCGAAACACTCCTCAAGCGCCCCGGGCGGCCGATGACTGATCCAGAAGACCTGAGATATCTTCTCATCATCCTGGAGAACCCGCTGCTCTACGGGGAGTCGAATGCCTTCCAAGGCCGAGGAAACAATGACAGACGTCCGTCGCTGAAACGCGACGAGATTCTGAGGGAAGACAGATCGACCTTGAAAACTGGTCCCGTATCTGGACAACATTCCGTCATCATCAAGCGAATCCTGGGCTTGATCTCGAATTCATCGACTTCATGCCAGAACCATTTAACCACTTGGTTTGCGCGGTTTTCCGAGTCCAGATTCATCAAGATCAAGGACCTTGCCGCTGGGTTCCTGACTTATAGACTCATTCGCCAGAATGAGAAGAAACACGAGGTCAGAGTCGACATAACAGCCGGGTTGATCCCGAACATGAGTGCCGGACATTCAGCAGCCTCGCTACACGCAGCGCTGGGCACGCAGCGTAGCTCATCAAAGCAACAGAAGGAGCAACCGAAAAAGATGGTATATAATGAAGACTGGCAAATCCGGGCCGCCGCCAGAGTTCTTTCTCTAGTGTTTGCGGCAAATAACATGACGCACATTCGGCGCCCGGATCACACGGGAAATATGAGTAGCAGTACTCACAGGGGAGGCATACAGGCGCATGGGCAAATCATCCCTACGAGTGACTTTTACAACACCATGATTGACTACACCGACTTGGTAGCCGAGTTCGAAGCCTGGGAGTCGAAGAGGGGAAAGTTCTCGTTTTGCCAGTATCCGTTCCTGTTGAGCATGTGGGCCAAGTCCCAGATACTGGAGCATGATGCACGAAGGCAACAGATGACCAAGGCACGGGACGCTTTTTTCGACAGCATCATGACAAGGAGGAACGTTACGCAATTCTTGGTGCTTGATGTTCGAAGAGAGTGCCTGGTTGACGATAGTTTGAAGGCTGTGAGCGAAGTCATTGGAAGCGGGAGCGAAGACATCAAGAAGGGGTTGCGCATCGTTTTCAAGGGCGAGGAGGGCCTTGATGCAGGTGGTTTGAAGAAAGAATGGTTTCTTCTCCTCGTCCGTGAGGTGTTCAACCCCGAGCATGGTATGTATCAGTCTGCGTCAGGTCTGAGTCTGTTTCTGATACCATATTGCAGGCATGTTTATCTACGACGAGGACTCTCAGTTCTGCTATTTCAACCCCAACGCCTTTGAAACTTCTGACCAGTTCTTCCTGGTTGGCGTTGTAATGGGTCTGGCGATCTACAACTCCACCATCCTCGATGTGGCGCTGCCGCCATTCGCCTTCCGAAAGCTTCTTGCTTCCGCTCCTAGCTCGTTGTCAGGTTCCTCTGCCCATCCTCGACCAACCATGAACTACACACTGGAGGACCTAGCTGAGTATCGCCCGCGTCTAGCGAGTGGTCTCAAGCAGCTTCTTGAGTATGATGGTGACGTTGAGGCGACTTTCCAGCTGGACTTTGTCGTGGATATTGAGAAGTACGGAACTGTGATGCAGGTCCCGCTGTGCCCAGGAGGAGAAAGGAAGCCAGTCACCAACGCAAACAGAGCAGAGTACGTCTCACTATACGTCAGGTACCTACTCGAAACGACTGTCGCCCGACAGTTTGAGCCCTTCAAACGTGGTTTTTACACTGTGTGTGGCGGCAACGCACTGTCACTGTTCCGACCTGAGGAGATTGAATTACTCGTGCGAGGCTCAGATACGGCACTCGATGTGGACGCACTGAGGGGTGTGGCTGAGTACGACAACTGGGGTTCGAAGAACCCTGATGGGGTAGAGCCAGTCATAGGATGGTTCTGGGATGCCTTCAAGAGTGCAACCCCTGATGAGCAAAGGAAGCTTCTCTCCTTCATCACCGGTACTGACAGGGTGCCGGCCATGGGTGCTGCTCTTCTTCCGATCAAAATTACATGTTTAGGCGATGATGAGAACAGGTATCCCATCGCTCGAACATGCTTCAATATGCTGGCCCTACGTCGTTACGGGTCGAGGGAGAGACTAGAGCACATGCTATGGACTGCCGTGCACGAGAGCGAAGGCTTTGGTTTGAAATAAGCGTATCATGTGTCAAATGAGCTACAGGGAGCATCGATATCGGAGTTACAGAAAGACAAACCGCAGCCCTGCAAAGGGTAGCAGCATGCATCTAGATGGTATGGCTGGCAGATTCACAACGACCTACAGCTTGGTGGTCTTTCTTGGGCGGTGGGCGGCGTTTAGGTTTTGGATGAACATGGGCGATAAGTCCATGGGTAGCTTATAATGGAAAGGAGTTCGTTTCGTTTCCAACCACCGTCATACTTGACAGCATGTAGTGTCTCCTGAACTAGCATTTGTGATCGTGACCAGAACTTGGTCCTGTAACCCATGAAGACAGACTGGTCACATTGCCGCCCAGAGCATTCTCGTTTTGCAGAGATTCTTTTTGGTACATTTTGTACAGGATATTCATACACTTTTTTCGGTTTCTTCTCCACACGCTCGTACACACCACTTTTGTTCTGCTCCCCTCCCCCCTGAACCAATTCTCATCAACTAGCTCGCCTCAGCACGCGCCCTAGCAAGCATAGCCTTCTCCCTCCTCTCCTCCTCCAGAATCTTGGCCACCCGCTTCCGGTCCTTATCGCCCTTGGCTCGCAGCTCCTCGACGGCCTTCATATCGGCCTCGTCCTCGGGGCCGGGCAGCACGGCCTCTGCTTTCGTCTCTTGGAGAAAGTGTTCGTAGATTTCCTCCGAGTGCTTGTTCTTCATGTCGATCTTGACGACGCGCTCGAGACCCTCGAGGGGTGCGGGGGCCTTTGAGTTGTCGATTGCGCTGGAGGGGGGTTGCGGGAGGGTGGAGGGTTCGAGGGGTTCGCCGGTGGTGGAGAAGTAGACGGACATAATGGCTGCGCCTTCGTTGTTGTTTTTGCGGTTTACAATCATTGGGATGGCGGGGTTGTAGTATTTTAGGCGGGGGAGCATGTCGCGCCAGAATTTCCTGTGAAGGAAGTGGAAAGAGGCGGTTAGTCGAAGCTCTTCGCGGGTGGGAGAATGGATGAGGAGAGGGGGGGGACGAACTTGGGACCAAAGTGGCCGCCGTCTACGCGCCTGGCGAACTCCATGTGTATCCTCGTGACGTTGGGAGGCAGTTTTGCGGCGCCGAGGCCGAAGCGGATGTTGAGGATCTGCGGGTGTCAATTGAAGCTATTCCTGGGGAGCTATGTCGGGTAGTTCTCGATTCTAAGTACCTTCTGTTCACCAAAAGTTAGCTTTCTCAATTCGTCACGAGTATAGCGATTGCTCAAGAAGACTTACAGCTTTTAAAGCGTGCCATCTCTGTCCTACACGAGTCATCTTGGCGGTAGTCTCTTCAGAAATGCTACAATCCAAAGGGTATCTCAATCACCAAGCAACTTCTCGATGCCAGTCGCGTGGTCGGGAGTCTGAAAATTGCCCGCGACCCTTGGATTTTTCGGACCGGGGGCAAATGATTGTCCGGCGATAAGGGGTGTCGGAACTCTTATCGGTGCAGCTCGGACGTTGATCGTCCCCAAAATTTCTAGAATTTCCTAGATGCTTGTCTAGTCGAAAAGCTGCCAGGACCCAAAAGTCCGGTAACTGACAACCCAAATTACCACGTTCTTTTTCCCCTCGTTCTATTTCTACGACAATGCATCGCGCATTATCGTCGAGATGGCTCAGGAGCGCCATGAGTATTGGCGACCGGGCCGCCTTGGGTGAGGTCCCGGTCTACCTCTGCCCATCCCTCACCACCGCGTCTGCGCGGCGCTGCTTTGCGCCGACTGGCGATGCGCGTCGCAACCTTCCTTACAGACAGCGACGATGCATGCACATCGAGGCGACGACAATGTCCGAACCGGCGGCGGCGGCGGCCCCGTCACCTCCTACTAGCGAATCAACAAAGAACCCGAGGAGAAACCTCCCGGTGTCATGCAGTGGCTGCGGCGCACTGAGCCAAACAACCGAGGCTGGGCATGCTGGATACTACGACCTGAGCAGGAAAGCCGTGAAGGAGTTCCTTGCGCCCAAGGGTAGCGAAGAGGAGGTGGAAAATGGGGCGCGAGAGGAAGATAAGGTCATTGATGAGGTCCTGCAGAACATGAGTGAGGAGCAGCTTGCTCAGCTTGGCCTGGACCCGAAGACACTACGTTTTGGGGAGGAATTGGGTTCTGGCGTTACGAGTGCGTATTCAACTGTTGATCTGCGTCTACCGCAAGTACTAACAATACGCAATAGCACCGGGCCCCAAGCCGAAAAGAGTACCGCTTTGCGATCGATGCCACAAGCTGGTGCACCACCACTCCGGAGAGCCGATCTACCACCCGACAGTCGACGCCCTGCGCGAGACGATCGAGGAGTCACCCTTTAAGAACAACCACATCTACCACGTAATCGACGCCGCTGACTTCCCAATGTCGTTCATCCCGAAGCTGCACCAAGTCCTCGACGCCAATCTGAAGCACAGGAACCGCAGGAATAGGGCTGGAAGGTACTTCAAGGACCGCAAGTTCGACATGAGCTTCATCATCACGCGATCGGATCTGCTCGCGCCGAAAAAGGAGCAAGTGGACTCGCTCATGCCGTACCTGAGAGAGGTCCTGCGCCGGTCGCTGGGCAAGTTTGGACAGCTCATCAGACTGGGCAACGTCAAGTGTGTCAGCGCGCAGCGAGGGTGGTGGACCAAGTCGCTCAAGGAGGAGATTTACAAGCGCGGCGGCGCGGGCTGGATGGTTGGCAAGGTCAACGTTGGAAAGAGTCAGCTATTCGACTCGGTGTTCCCGAAGGGCACGACGGCAAAGCTCCCTTCGGGAAATCGCATGGAGATCCCCTTGTTTGCAAAGGAGGAGGACAGCGACGGTGCCAGTTACGCGGCGAGGGGGCTGGAGAACGATTCTGATCGTCTTGAAGTGGATGCTTTGCTGCCTCCTGCTCGTCCCGAAACAGACTTCCCGGAGATGCCTACGGTCTCCTCTCTTCCAGGCACGACGGCTTCTCCTATCCGAATCCCCTTTGGCAACGGCAAGGGGGAGCTGATTGACCTCCCTGGAGTGGCTCGATCAGATCTCGAGAGATACGTCAAGCCGGAGCACCGTAACGATCTCATCATGCACCACCGAATCAAGCCGGAACAGCAATCCCTCAAGCCCGGCCAATCCCTCCTGCTTGGAAGCCTGATCCGCATCACCCCCACCACGCCGGACCTCGTCTTCCTCGCCTACAACTTCACCCCGATCCCCGAACACGCGACCTCCACCGAGAAGGCCATCGAGTTCCAGCAGCAGACGAGGGAATCCGACCGCGTGCCCAACATCGCCGCCCCCGGCCTCGCCGAGAAGCTCAAGCTCGCGGGCGCCTTTGAGCTCAAGTACGACGTTACCAAGGAGCGCGCCGGACCGCTCACGCGCAAGGACGTCGGCCGCAGAAAGGTCGAGGACCTCCCCTGGCGCGTGATGGCTACCGACATCCTCATCGAGGGCTGCGGATGGGTCGAGATCGTGGCACAGGTGCGAACCAAGGACCTGTTTGCCGGCTGCGCGCCGTCCTTTACGCAAGAAGAACCTGAACCCGAGCTTGAACCGGAGGTCGAGGAGCCCGAGCCCGTAGACGGTTTCGCCAGGATGGAGATGGCTATGAACAGCCAGGCCGGCGGTCCTCCCAAGGTCGAGAAGCCGAAGAAGAAGGAAAAGGAGAAGCCCGCGGAACCTGCCCGGAAACCCGACGAGCCGAATTGGCCCGTCGTCGAGGTCTGGACGCCCGAGGGCAGGTTCGTCGGCGCTCGTCTGCCGATGAACGCGTGGCTTTTGAATAAGTCTCCCAAGAAGGAGATGAAGAGCCGTCCGCGCAAGAGCATGAAGGGCGCGAAGAAGGCGGCCAAGGCTGTCAAGAGAGCCCTTGCGGCGGCTGAATAATTGGCCTTGGAACACCTCCCCACACAACCACACATATATATACTATGTACACCACCTGTAGAATATTTGCATGCGATACCCATGTGTAAAACCCACGTATCAATACCAATAATCAACCATTTATTACAAGAAATCTGTCAGTGGCATATCGCTCGATGGCGTCAATATTTGTCGCTAGTCTTTCTCTCGTGTTGCCCTATTTCGAAATTATTCATAGGGGAGTAGAGCCGAATTGATATATAACTTATCACGACCTATTTCAAAGTACGTACACGCTATCTAGCAATTGATGTGATAGGCGTTGCTGATATCGGATGTATCACTGTGATGACATTGAGATTTCCTAAAACCACTTTACGCGTGAACAAGGCGCTGCGTGTCATCAACCCTGGATCAATCTCAAACGACGGAGTGAATGAACCGTTGACAATGGCCGGCACCGGGCGGGACTGCTTGAAACACCGAATCCGGAACCTTCTCGCGGCGCCGGTGCGTTCCTGGCGATGGCTGGTCCAGCCGTGGCTTCGGGTCTTGTATGTGTAGATCTTCAGGGAATGACGTGGTGTGGGTAGCAGAACTACCTTTTCAACGCTGTTGAGAACTTGAGCGAGCCAAAAATGTACGAGGCTTTCATACGCGGGTTTCTTATTAATCTTCCAGAGGTCACAGAAGCTTTTTACAACCACCTATCGGCGTCCACTCTCGTTAAATAAGGTACCTTGATAACCAAGTCGCTGGGCTGTACCTGAACCATCGGGGGTCGGCCTGCTACCTTCTACCCGCCCCTCCAAAATTACCTAAGGGGATCAAAAAAGCATCCCACCCTCTTTGCCTTCCTTCCTACAACTTACAAATAGGCAAATCCCTGCGACACACAGCCCCCTGAATGTCCTCGGTTTTGTCTATCGCTTGACAGATCCGCGCGCACCAGACGGCTTGAGCACGCACAGTGGTGACAACTTCGCGACAGCATCAAGTGGCAACCTCTACAGATTGGGGATCCATCGGCGTGAGAAGCAGCCCCGCGCAGAGAAGTGACCGCATCGACACACGACCACGCACTCCGCTCTTCGACCTCACAAATCTTCCTTACACCGGAAAACATCACCACAATGGCGGCATTACAAGACCGCTCGCAACAGCGCTCAGCGCCAGGCCCCTCCCAGACCCAGACAGAAACGCAGAGCAGGACGGGCACACAGGCGATCCTGCGGCTGCGAGGCGCTCACGCTCCGTCTAGGCAGTCGGTGCGATGGGCGGAAGACGTGGTGGATAACGAGGGCCTGGGACGCAAGAGCTCAAAAGGTGAGTTGACGTCTCTCTCCTCCTTGGTCACATGCATGACCAACTAACGCAACTCGACAGTCTGCTGCATCTACCACCGCCCCAAGGGCGTCGACGAATCCAGCGACGAGTCCTCTTCAGACTCCTCTGACGACTCTTCCGACTCCGAGGCGGACGACAATGGTGGGCGGAGGAGGATACCTTCTGGAGACCACAAGGGGAAGGGGAAGGACAAGAAGAGCGGCAAGCGGGGAGATCATGACCACAACTGCGACGACCACGATCACGACCACAGCAGTCACGGATACGGGAGGAAGGATGGTCGCGAGGGGAGCGAGAAGAGGAGGCCTAGCCCGAATGCATATGAGAGGGTGCCGAAGCCGCCCAAGCCCAAGGATGAGGGGAGCGGTGGTCCGCCAGCCAAGGCTTGAGTGAAGAGAGCATGAGACGGTCGATTTCTGGTTCGCGATGCATATCTTAAGGCGTTGGAGGGGATTGATACATGGTTTACGGATGAGCATATCTACAGCCGCGGGGGGGCGGCAGCACGAATACAACATGGTGCATTAGCAGAGGTACTTGTTGTCTGCTCATGCAATTTGGGGCTTAAGATTGAATGCGACCATTTTGCTGCAAAGACATCGAAGGACTATCCATCCTATTTGAGCGCTGAGCCTCGGTCCTGGAATACCTCACTCTACGCGGACCCGGAGGAGCGGTGTGTCCCCGCACTGAGTGCGCCGGCGGCGGCCGTGGGGGATCAGCTCTCGCACGCCCGGGCACTGGGCACCACGCGTTGAAATCTTATCGCTGCGATAAGCTGTAAAGGACCCCGCGATCCCTTGACAGTGCTCAGACGTAACCCCGCCATTCTTCAACAGCTTCCTCCATATAAGCCAAAGCTTTGCAACCTTCCAGATTCCTTGTACAAATCGAACTTGAGGAATACGACGCCTTTCTTTCAAACCTATATCAGGCCCCCATCCCACAGCCATGTCCCACGAGCACTCACACGACGGTCCTCATGGCCACGCGCACTCCCACGAGGGCGGCTTCAACGCCCAGGAGCACGGCCACTCTCATGAGATCCTTGACGGTCCTGGAAGCTACCTCGGCCGCGAGATGCCTATTGTCGAGGGTAGAGACTGGAATGATCGTGCTTTCACCATTGGAATTGGAGGGTGAGTTCAGTTTAACATCCAAGTCCTAGAGTGTAATCCAAAAACCGCTCATCCCCTGCTCTTCGAATGGCCTCAAATGGCTTGCTAGGAGAGCCCCTGGCATACAATCTCAAGATAAAATTGCACACGAATTACTCTCAACGGGTTACATCACAGAAAGACTAAAACATCCCAAATACAGACCCGTCGGTTCCGGCAAGACAGCCCTAATGCTCGCCCTCTGCAACGCCCTCCGCGAAAAATACTCCATCGCCGCCGTCACAAACGACATCTTCACCCGCGAGGACGCCGAGTTCCTCACCCGCCACAAGGCCCTGCCCGCCCCGCGCATCCGCGCCATCGAGACGGGCGGCTGCCCGCACGCCGCCGTGCGCGAGGACATCTCGGCCAACCTCGCCGCCCTCGAGGACCTCCACCGCGAGTTCGACGCCGACCTGCTCCTCATCGAGTCCGGCGGCGACAACCTGGCCGCCAACTACTCGCGCGAGCTGGCCGACTACATCATCTACGTTATTGACGTGTCGGGCGGCGACAAGATCCCGCGCAAGGGCGGTCCCGGTATCACGCAAAGCGATTTGCTGGTTGTGAACAAGACGGATCTGGCGGAGATTGTGGGCGCGGATTTGGGTGTCATGGAGAGGGATGCGCGTAAGATGCGCGAGGGCGGGCCGACTGTGTTTGCGCAGGTCAAGAAGAATGTTGCTGTTGATCATATTGTTAACCTCATGCTCAGCGCGTGGAAGGCGAGTGGTGCGGAGGAGAACCGCAGGGGTAAGGGCGGACCGAGGCCTACTGAGGGTCTTGACAGCCTCAAGGCTTGAGCAGGATGACTCGTTGGAAGAATGTAAGAAGCGAGGGTTGACGCAAAAAAAGTTGAACGAATCTCTCTTTTTCAAAAACTCCGGAGGATGGCATCAGACCTGTATCTATAGCCGACGTTACTGCTAATATCTATGCATTCTTTTCCCGAGGCGCACCCCTTTTCTGGCATTTCCATCTCATCATGTCTGACTTTTTATCTTTTTTCCTGATCTCCTTTTTTTGTATTTGTTCTACTCCATCATCACATCCCCCTCCTGGACCAATTCAGGAACGCCAGCCTCGAGCTCGAGAAGAGGCCCCTGGATGGGGACTGCGTTACGCGGGAATACACGCTTATACAGACTGACACCGACAGCGTCCTGCGGGTTGATGCGGGCGTCGAAGGTCGCCTTGAAGTATCCGTGGGTACCGAGGGGCTCCTTCATGAAGCCGGTGCGGCCGCGCTTGGTCCACAGCGGCAGGGCCTTGAACCACTCGACGTCCTCGCGGTTGAAGAACATGTAGCGGATGGTGACAATCTTCTTGTGGATGTGGTACGGGTGGCCCGTGAGGATGGCGCGCTTGGCGATGACGCGGTTCGTCGACGACGGCAGGGCGGTGCCGGTGCCGATGAGCGTCAGGCCGATTGTGGAAGACCCATCATCCTCGGAGCCCTCGCCCTCCGGCACGGGGACGGAGCGCTTGAAGAAGAGCACGGGCACGGCGCCCCAGGTGATGGGACCCATAAAGGTCGCGACGGCGGACTGGCCCGGGTGGAGGTATCTCGCAAACTTGTGCACGTTGTTGGGCGTGTTGCCCGGCTGCGAGAAGACGGGGTTGATGGTGAAGCGGCGGGGTCCACACTGCACGATGAGCTCCTCCTTGGCCTTGACGGACTTGTCGTAGTCGGCGCTCAGGTTGAAGAGGTAGTTGACGGCCGTCTTCTTCTGCTCGTGGCGCAGAAGGGAGAAGAGCGTCACGGGGCGGCCGGGCTGGTGCGACTTCTCAAAGGACGCCGGGACGCCCTTGAGGTAGACGTGGACGCGGGTGCCGGGGGCGACGCCGCCGACGAGGGCCTCGCGGGTGGACCGCGACCGGGAGGCCTGGTAGTCTGGGATCTGGAGGAGCTTGCGCCACTCCTCGGGCTCGTAGGCCCGGTCTTCGCTCTCGAGCCACTCGCTCGTCCGCAGGCTCTTGAGACCTCTGTACCGTTGCAGGCGTTCGCGTGCGAGGACGCCCGGGTGCAGCTCAATCTCGTCGGGGAACTCCTTGTCGTCCTCGACCTCGTCCGTCTTGCGCGCGCGGTAGGCGGCGAGACCGGCGGCGTCCTCCTCTTCATCCGGTTCGATGAACTTTTCGGACTGTGCGTACGTTGTGGGTGCGCCCTCGGTGGGCTCTCTTGGCGCGGCACCCTCGAGGCCGTCTTCGGGACGGGCCTCGTCCTCTGAAGAGTTGCCGTCCTGCATCTCAAAGTCCTCCATGTCGGAGCCTGAGTCTGACACGTCGTCGCCGAGGTACCAAGCCGCTTGGTAGTTGGATGTTCCCTTGGGGACTCTGGTCTTGGCTTCCGCGGCCTCGTAGTAGTCGTCGTTGAAGTAGTGGTGGTCATCGAGAAGTACACCCTTCTTGATCTCTGGCGGCTCGTCCGCTTCCATCTCGTCGTCTTCCATCGGCGCATCAGGGGCCAGCTCTGCCAGATCATCCTGGTCTTCATCAGGGGTATCAAGAGTCTCCTCGGTCTCGGTTTCCTCCACGGCCATTTCGCCCCTCTTCAGCTTCTTGGGCAACGGCGCACTCGTAATCTTCTCGACCTGGAAGGTACCAAAGTCGCCCAGCTGAACCAGGCGGTTGGCCTTCAAGCCCCGTCCCCTGACGACACCGGTGATGACCGTTGAGTCAAGTCCCGAGCTGGCAAACTTGATGTCCTCGGCCAACATCCAACTCCTGTCCTCGCGCCACCTGACACCCTTCGGCGTGGTGTTGCAGAGCGACCGCATGAGGTTGGCGCACTCTTGTCTGTTCTCCAGCTGGTAGAGCTTCTCCTGCTCGGGGTGGAAGTGGGTGATATAGGACCTCAGGGAACCGAGGGTGGACTGCTTGTGCTTGGCTTGGTCGATCTTGTCCACACCGTAGACAACGGTGAAGAGGGTTGACAGACCCTGGCTCTCCAGACTCCTCAGCATCAGCTCTCCAAGCTCATCGACCTCGACATCGGCCGAGAGCATGACCACCACGAAGTCCGCAACCCGGGTGGCATCCAGAACCGCATTCAGATCCCTCTTGAGGGGGATGTACTGGACCTTCTGCTTGAATCTGTCGACGGAGACTCGGAATGGCGTCTCCCCCACCTCGGCCTCGACCTCCACACTCTCGTTTAATTGCTTGATGGCGACCGCGGCGTCACCATCGTGGCATAGGGGAACGACCGCGACGATTCTCGGTGCGCCGTCCCTTCCGACAAACAAGCTGGCTTCCTCCAATCTTTCCTTGCGCTTGGCGATCTGGCGCTGCTTGGCCTGGTTTCGTCGATCGAATTTGGACAGAACTTGCTGGTGGGGGGTCTTTCGCGTCCCCTTTTCGTCGCCCGGGAGCCTGCCTATACAATATGATATTAGTACGGGGGATTTCAGTGACATCAACGCCCTCAAAATTGGCGCGGAGGAAAATTTGGAGGCGAACCTTTGGCGGCGTCCCTCAGCGCACCCTTGGACGCATGCTTGGACTTGAAGGGCTTGTGGGTGACTTTGGTCGTCGGTCGGTGAGAGTGACTCATGGTCGCGGCGGGCGGTTTCCCGTCTCCCCCAGCCTTGAATCGAAAGGGTAGCGAAGCCAGGTTGGATAGAGGCTCCTTTTTCTACTTTTCACAGTCGAAATCGAGACTTGGTCGAGTACGGCGCAATTTTTGGACTTTTTGGACGGATTTGCGCCTGTGATGCAGATGGAGGGGTACTTTGACCGACTATTTTTTTGAATTCGTGCGTGCGTTATCTAAACACATTCATTGGCCTGTCAAAAGTTTCTGCGGGGCTCTGTGTGGAGTGATAAGATACGCTCCAACCAGGATCCCGATAACGAGACAAGCCTAAGAAATTTTGAGCCGAGTCGCTGTCGTCGAGCCGTGAACTTTTTTCTTTTCCGCAATTGATCGGCTTAGGACCTTCGCGACGGCACTTCACGATAACCCCCCAGACCTGCCAGCCACGAACCAAACTTCACACCCCGTTTGCCCACCATGGATATCGACATACCCGAGACGCAGACGATCTCGCGGAGAGACAACACACACTCCAATGGCGCCGTGCAGGTGAAGCGCCGCACCGACCTCGTCCCGCGCGAGGAGCGGGAGAAGATCCGGAGGCTCAAGGAGGCGAACAAGTCGTACGGCCGCGGCAAGAGCGTCAACGTGAAATCGATCAAGGACAAGAAGCTTCGCACCAACCTGTCCAAGCTCGAGAACAAGTACCGCGACGCCACCATCAAGGCCAAGGACGCCGAGATCCTGCTCGAGAACAGCGGCGGTTTCCTCGAGCCCGAGACGGAGCTCGAGAGGACGTACAAGGTTCGCCAGGATGAGATCACCGAAGGCGTCTCCGTGACGACGGCGCAGAAGCGCTTCGAGCTGAAGCTGGAGGAGTTGGGCCCGTACGTGGGCGAGTACACACGCAACGGCAGGGAACTGCTGCTCGCGGGGCGGAAAGGTCACCTTGCGACGTTTGACTGGAGGGAGGGCAAGCTGGGATGCGAGATTCAACTCAACGAGACGATTAGGGATGTGCGGTGGCTTCACAACAACCAGTTCTTTGCTGTTGCGCAGAAGAAGTATGTCTACATCTACGACCACAATGGTGTGGAGATTCACTGCTTGAGGAAACACATGGAGGTTACACACATGGAGTTCCTCCCCTACCATTTCCTCCTAGGCACAGTGGTAAGTTTGCAAATCACGAACGCAAGCTCTCAACTTCGCTAACAACCGTCACAGGCATCAACAGGCTTCCTCAAATACCAGGACGTTTCGACCGGCGACATCGTCTCCGAGATCCCCACCAAGCTTGGCCCCCCAACGGCCATGACCCAAAACCCCTGGAACGCCGTATTCCACGTAGGACACCAGAACGGCACAGTCACTCTCTGGTCACCCAACCAGACCGACCCTCTCGTCAAGCTGCTAGCGCACAGAGGACCGGTAAGATCACTAGCCGTTGACCGCGAGGGCCGATACATGGTCTCCACCGGCCAAGACTGCAAGATGGCTGTCTGGGATATCAGGATGTTCAGAGAAGTGAACCAGTATTTCACAAGAGCACCGGCGTCCTCGGTAGCCATCTCCGATTCTGGTCTCACAGCCGTCGGATGGGGTACGCAGACCAGCGTCTGGAAGGACCTGTTCAACAAGAGCGCGCCCGTCCAGGAGAAGATCCAAAGCCCATACATGGCTCTCGGAGGCGACGGCAGACGCGTCGAGCGCGTGCGCTGGTGCCCCTTCGAGGACGTCCTCGGCACAGGCCACGACGAGGGCTTCTCCTCACACCTCATCCCCGGCGCCGGCGAGGCCAACTTTGACGCCCTCGAGGTCAACCCCTTCGAGAACAAGAAGCAGAGACAAGAGGCCGAGGTCAAGGGCCTGCTGAACAAGCTCAAGCCCGAGATGATCGCCCTGGACCCCAACTTCATCGGCAACATTGACCTGCGCACGGCCGCGCAGCGCAAGGCCGAGAAGGACCTGGACGCGAAGCCGTTGTCCGTCGAGGAGGAGATCAAGAACCGCGCCAGGGGCAAGAACGGCGCGTTGAAGAAGTACCTGCGCAAGCAGAGGAAGAAGAACATTATCGACGAGAAGAGGATGAAGGTTGATGAGATTTGGGAGAAGCGCAAGAAGGAGAGGGAGAGCAAGGGCCAGGAGGCCGAGGCTGATCTCGGCCCGGCGCTGTCGAGATTCGCGCGCAAGGAATAATGTGGATGATATGAGGGGGGGTTGTATAAAGTGTTGACAAAAAGTTGGAACGGGGGGAGTTGGTTGCATGTAAAAAGGCGTTATAGGCATTTGCTCCCTTAGTGACCATGAATACCCGAATCTGGAAGATATTCTCTATACACTCTGTCTTCTCTGTAAGAGATCTCCTGCTGCTATGTCTACTGTGCTGGGTGTTTTCTTTCCATCGGGCCTGGTAAGGCAGTTCTCCCACAGTACTGAGCTTTTTAGCATACATAAACCAGGTAGTTATTTGAGTGAGCGTCACAAGAACCAACATCATCGACATTGTCGTAAGCGGCTTGACTTTCGATCATCATTCCAGGACATGTCTCATGTCCGCATGCGAAGTGAAATACATACTTCAGTCCTTCGCTTACTTTTATGTACCGTACGCCATTACGCTTCATTCGTGTATGTTCCCAGAGTCTATATTCCCATAATAACTTTTGTTCCTCGGTAAACCACGTGGATTTCCCAACCCCCCTTTACAACAGCTTCAAGTGTCCCGTAATCTGGTCAACCAAGCTTCTGGGCGCAGGACCAACGCCCAGCACAGTCAGACTGCCGGCCTCGATCTGCGTCCGGCCAGCGTCGGCAATCACCTCGGAGGTGACACCGAGGCTGCGAGCCTTGCCCATGAGCTCGAGCATCTCGTCCTGGTTCTTGATCTGGACGGCAATCTTGGCCTGGCCGAGATTCTCCCAGCGGGAGAGGATCTTGGCGGCTGGGGAGGAGGGGTCTTTCGCTGCGGCCTTGGAGAGGGACTTGTAGCATGCGAGAGTCGCGTGCGAGGCTTGCGCTGCCATCTTGCCTATTAAGAAGAATTGGTAAGCTATCGATCGCCTTTCAGGGGGTTAGGAGGGAAGCAAGAACATACCCTTGGTCATGCCCAGGTCCGTCCGGACGACTAGAACAAGCTTGCACTCCTCGTTGGAATCCACCAGCGGCGTACCAGCCGGGTTAGGCTTCTTGGAAGAGGTGGGCTTCTCGGAGGCATTGCCCTTGCGCTGGCGCAGCCCGTCGCGGCGGTCGGCGGCCAAGCCATTGGCCCAGTTGGGCGCGTGGTCCAGGAGAGTGTCGTCCTCGTCAATATCGGACTCCTCGCTCTCGACGGGGTCGTCAATGTTGGCGCGGGCTTCGGAGCGCAGTTCGGGGGAGATGAGGTAGCCGCGGATCGAGTAGACGCCGAGGAGAAAGCCCGTCATGAGGGCGACGATGGAGGTCGATATCACCACGGCTGCCTGCTGGCCGCCTGTGTCCGCCATTGTTGTGCGGCTTGTTTGGGTTTGGAGAGTGAGGTGTTTCTTTGGTTGTCGGTTCACAAAGTTCGGGAGAAAGGCTGCGACGATATGGAGGAGTTGGGCGGAAGAGATGGGATGAACTGCAACTTTTTTGTGGGATGGGATTGGATGGATGGAATTGGAGATGTCAATGCCAAAAGTTCCCGTCCATTCCACTGTACGTCTATGGACAGCGCTCTGCCAGGCCGGATGACGCACGCCAGGGGCTTGCCTTGCCTGCCTTGGCCTGCCCGGATTTGGCTGAAACCCCCTGGACGGCCGCCGCTGCCGGGGACCCTTTAGCGGAAGACGCCCCCACTATCTGACGTTCCTACCAGGGAGGGGTAATAGTGGTGGGGTTTGTTGACTTGGGGGATCTAACGATCTAACAGTAAGCTACTGCAAGCCGGAATCTCAGATCAAGACTTGGCCGCGACTATCTCCCGCTTATTCATAGTTTAGCAACTGGCGGTCTATCTAACGGACAACGACTCGTATAACGATCTGTCTACCTCACGCTCCGTTGTAAGTGAATCCTCATAAATCCTGAGAGTAACGCCATAATAATGTTGTTGTTCTAACAGACACACTCGCTCACAACTCACAGACTTATCTCCCGCGAGGCGCATCACGATAGGGCGTCAAGATGGCGGGGAACAATGTGATAGTCGGTCTGAGTGGCTGCTCTTCCAGCGGGAAGACGACTCTTGCCCGTCTATTGAGGGACATCTTTCCCAGTACCTTTATCCTCCACGAGGACGACTTCTACAAGGCCGAGACCGAGTGAGAAGTCCATTGTATTCACAGCATCGGCGAAGTCTTGCTAACATCTCCATCAGATTGCCAAGCAAGGATGGTCTTTTGGACTGGGACTGTCCTGAGTCGATATCTATCCCAGACATGGAAAAGGCTCTGGTTCATATCCGTGAAAATGGAACATTTCCAGTAAGTGCTTGCACCCGTATTATAAAACCCCCTTTATGTTTCTCACATAATTCCCTCGCAAGCCTTTCGTAGACTCGAAAGAAGACCAAAACTCCGTCGGAAAGTGTCCAGTCTCGGACGACAAGATCGCCGCCATGAAAGTCAAGATCGAAGCCTGGCTGCAGCCCGGCAAGCCGGGACACGCCATCTTCACCGAGGGCAAGCTCAACGTCTGTCTCTTTGACGGCTTCCTCCTCTACTGCAAGGAGATGGAGACGACGATGGAGCTCATCGACATCAAGCTGTTCCTCCTCGTGAGCCGCGCCAAGGCGACGCAGCGGCGCGAGGCCCGCGATGGGTATGTCACCTTGGAAGGGTTCTGGCAAGATCCCCCGGGGTACGTGGACAAGATTGTCTGGCCCAACTACGTTGAGTCCCACTCGTGGCTATTTGAGAATGGGGATGTAGAAGGGAAGTTGGATGCGGATGTATTAAGTGAGAAGAACATCAAGGCACAGGTCGGCAAGGGTTTGGATATTGATATGGAGACTACTTTGGAGTGGACTGTCGACACTATCATCACGGAGTTGGAAAGGCGTGCTTCTGAGAAGTCGTAAGAGGACCAATAAGATTTCATGAGATATTGAACTGAATATTCAAAATAATATGTGCAAGAAGGTAAGCGTATGTACTTCACCCTTTTCCCTATAGTGTTTTACACAACTCCAAAAAGCCCCTGTCAAAAACAGTGAGCCACTGAGGCATTCCAAGATAATTATCCTTGCCAGGTGTCAGACTTTGTGGCCGTCGACGAGCAGGTTGACGGGACAGTGTAGCTGCGGTTAGGGTCGCTCTCCCAAGTGACGGCACCACCGCTGGCAACGTTGATGTACTTGTACTGGATCGTCGTACCAGCCGGCAGCTCAATAGTAACAGACCAGATGGGGTTGGCCGAGGTGTACCCCGAAGCGCTCAACGCAATGGCATTGCTCGGGTTCCAGCTTCCGAGAGAGGCGGTGCTGCCCACTAGCTTGATCGTCTGGCCGAACTGAGTCACGACCCGGGCGTTGAAAGTGACGAGCACGGAGCTGGCAATGGGACATCCCGTCGCGGTCGGCGTAGCCCCCGTAGTGGTTCCCGTGGGTGAACCGCCTCCTCCACCAGGCGTCTGGTTGGCGGGGAAAGAAGTCGCCGTGGCGCTTGAGTAAGAGCCGGCTATGGAGGTAGCCTGGCAGGTACCCGGGACCGAGGTGGCCGAGCCAACCCAGCCCTTGGGGATGACGTTGGCGCGGCGCTGGGCGGCTGTGAGGAAGGCCGCGTAGGACCAGGTGAGGTCGTCCGCCGAAAGGGGCTGGCCGTTGCTGCGTGAGAACTGCTCGGCGAGCGAGCCGTTGGACTGGGCGTAGGTCGCAACCACGTTCATGAAACCGTCCGCGTAGGCACTCACGGTGCTGATGAGTGATCTGTAGGTCGACGACCCGGAGGCGTACGTCCCAGGTGCGACGGAGCCGTCGCGGTCTCTGAAGAAGGCCAGGGAGGTTTGGGTGACGGTGATGGAGCCCTGTTGTTTCCAGACGTAGAGAGCGTCGTAAAGCTGCTCTGCGGCGGCCAGGGTGTTAAGGTACCACGGGTTTCCGTTGTAGTAGCTGTCCTCGGGGTATCTGCCGACTGCGATGGCGGCGGATTGGGCGATGCCGTTGTTGATTGCGTAGATGGTACGGAAGGAATCTACGACGACCTTGTGACTGGCGAGGGCCTTGTCGCTGCAGGGCTGGAAAGTTGCCGCGTCGCACGCTGCGGCAGGGTCAAAGTTGTGGATAGAGGCGAGGATGACGTTGGCATCTCGGCCGGATCTTCCATTTCCGTTGACTTGATGGTGTTAGGCTGCGTAGTTCCCTTGCAGGTAGATGGGATTATGCTCGTGAACTCACTGTTTGCAACCATGAAGTTGCCCGATGGGTTCCAGAATCTGCCCAAGAAGCACAGGACTTGGGGAGCCACGGCATCACAAGCTGCGCAAGACTGCCCAAGGGACCGTGCCAACGCGCTGCCCTCGACAAGAGCTATTTTCTAAGTTAGTCTCGACGACCATTCTTCACATATTTCAGATGGACATACCGCGATGCTGGCTGGCAACGGTGAAGAAAGAGCTTCCTTGAACCTCCTCCCACAGATCGAAACCAGTCTGGTTCCTGAAGACAAGTCAGAGATGATCATGGCCACTTATAATCTGGTCCTCTTACCAGTACTGAGCAACATAAGCCAAGTCATTACGAATCACTGGCCACAAGACGGATGAGGCAGTAGACGAGTAGCCGTTTGATACTAGCCATTTCGCGTACCCGATAATAGCAATGGCTCGCAGCGCCGGACCATCTCTCTGAGGTCGTCCTAAGGAACCTATCAGTATGCGCCTCGGATCCAGTGGCAGGCATCTAACATACCCCAAGCACCCGTAAAGGGGGCCAAGTTTACTTCGAACTTGGGCTCGCCAAGACCGGCACCATCGCCCAAGCCTCCGGAAGGGTTTGAGACCCCCTGGAGGCGAGCTTGGGAAGCAATGTAGTTCTGGATGTTGGTCTGAAGATTGGCATCGTAGCTGTTGGTGAAGATGTCCACCACGGCCTTAAAGACGAGACCAGCATCTGTGGAGCTATCAGTTTCTGTAGTGAAACCATTGGTAGGTTGTGTTTACCTCTAGTCCATGTGTAGAAATCTGTGGTACATTAGCAATAGTTCCTGATTTAGAGAACCATGGTTTGCCCCTCGGAGAACAAGTCGGTGCACCTGTTTCTCCGCTCGTTTCTCCGCTTGAGGTGTATCACCAACAGATGTTAACTTACACGGTGGGTCGGTCTTGTCCGGAGAAGCAATGACGATGCCAGAGCTCACGCCTTGAGCATGGCAACCGTTCGGGCCAATATTGCAGAGCAACTGCGCGAGGGCTATGGGGGTCTCAGTGGCAATGAAGGAGTCAACGTCCCTCTTGACGACCTGGCCTCCGGGGTAGCCAAAGATCGTCTGGGTGGTGAGAGACCCAAGCAGAAGAGCGGAAGTGAGAAGCTTCATGATGGGCTGTGTAAGACGCTCTGTGGTGTTGTGTGCCAGGCTTCCTGACATGACATGTTGTAGGTAAACCATGATGATTATATACTTCTTCGCGAGGCAAGAAGAAGCTGTAGGGCAGGGGACGTGTCCAGGGTGGGTTGCTTTGATGTTCCTCGAAGGCCCGAATGCTGGAGTATCACCGAGCTGTCAAGCTGGCCTGCATTAGTCTCACGAATATCCAAGATGCCCCTCGTCACGAGCTAGAAGCTGGACCTATGTCGGCACAACGGCGAGAAACGTCTGGTCGAACCGTTCAAATCCTCTTCCAAGCCCCCCTAGTCCAGGGACAAAAAGCCCAAGTTTCCACCTTCTGTCACGCTCGCTCTCAACTACTTGGACGGGTTCCCCTGTGGATAGTTTCAGTGCCGGTGACTGGCACCTACGAGTGCTCCAACAGTGCCGTGAAGGAAGGGTAACAACGATCCCAGACGATGCCGTGCAGGCCGCACGTGGATCAGGTTGGTTGTATTGCCAGAAGGCCACCTCAGTAGGCGGCAAGGATAGTAGACAGGGGTTGAGTGATGTCGCCGGCAAGGAGATCAGACAACCTTGTTGTTCGGTCCTTTCCGCCAGGAACTGCGGGGTGTTATTGGTGGCTATGATGAAGAGCTCATGGGGGCTGGGGTTGAGGGGTGGTGGAGGAGGAGGAGGTTTAAGCGTTCCCCGCACACTCCGTCCCGAGGCTTAGGCTTGATCGAACGACTAAGACATGGCTTACACTGCTGATGAGCTTGATGCGCATTAGAGTTGGCGTGGCCTTTGTCTCCAGGACCTACACTTGTAGGAATCGGACGAACCTGGGCAAGGGAGCGATGCTCTAGGTCACTTGAAAGGAGAGATGAGCAACAGTTATCGTTGTTGTTGTTTCGTCCGAGCCAGCCTCATGTCTCATCGGCATCTAGAAGCTGGGCATGCGATGCTTCCTCACCCAACGGCGCCTGCTAGTGGTGTGATGCCATCAAGTCGACATCATCAAGGCGGAAACTCCATCTCCCCCAAGGCCGAAATGTCCTTTTTACAGCTTGCTCATTTGCTGCCATGCAGTAGCGTCGACCAAGCTGTGTGATGTGTGACGACGTTACGGCGGAGTCTCCTGTTGATATCGGGCCGGACGAGAGAGTTAGCCATGCCAATAGCTACCCCAGATCACACGGCTGCACCCCGCACCGGCCATCCCACATGTTGTCCCCGTCGACACGGCCGGCCGGGATATCCAGAACGGGGACTCTGCGCCGCAACCGACAAACTCTGATGGCATTGGGAAGCAAGAGTGTGGGCACTTTGATGCAGGAGCAATATGCATCGTCGACCGGCGCAAGCTTGAGATCACAGCGCCAGGCACGGGATGCGCCGAGAAAGAGCCCGTGGAGAAAATCGTGGCTCGTCTATCGAATTTTATCCGTTGGTCTTTCACATGTATTCTTAGGAAAGAATGGTACTAGACATGGGATATTCTTACGAAACCCCCCCTGGTAGTTGCGCAACGTCTTGCAAAGCGGTCTCTCAGTTGAGCGCAAACAAGCTGACCACAACTCAGTTCTACACGATCCGCGAAGACTGCACGTGATGCGACTTGGTTGCCAGTTTTAGGCAAGTGCAGTTTTCATCGCTTGAAGCTGCCTTGCACCTGACGCGCCGCAGTCGCGGGGCAAGATCCGCCTGCCACTTTACGCGCTCATCACAGTGAAAATTCTTCAGCAGTAATTTACGTAGAGAAAATAAACAAGTCCCCAAGGTGGTAGTTTGTAGGCAAGTCATGGTTAGCCCTAACCTCATAGATCAACGATCTCGGAAAAAGGGGTAGGAATATGACGTCCCCAGTGCAAGATTACACCACGCTCAAGCTTTTGACGGCGAACATGGCTGCCTCAAGACCGGTCACTCTTGAACCTGTCGATCGGAAGATTGACATCATGAATTTTGATGGCTCCTTGGACGATCGAGCTGCCGCAGAACTCGACCCTGACTCCCGTAGGAGCAGAGGAATTCTGGGCACAGGCCCGTGTTTGTTGAAGAAGGAAAAGAAAAAGAGAAGAGAATTTTCGCAAGGCTGCGTGCGCTATGTAGTAAAAATCAGGGCCCCACCTCGGACGATTAGCTAAGCACGGGTCGTCGGCGGTGGGAACGACCCTGACGAGCCTGGGTGCCTGGCAAAGTCCTGGTGAGCCGCATGCTCTTTGTGGTTGGCCACGAAGTTTGACGCCTGGTAAGGTATCCTTATCGGCATCGCATTTGCATCTCCATCAGCCCTGATGCGACATAGCACCGTTCGCAGCCCTCGAATCGCCATCGCGTTACCTACCGAACCCGCATCCCTTCCAACACTACACTTCAAATCAAACACACCGATTACCAGTAACATTTGAACCGCAGAATACCGCCAAGATGGACGCCGCGACCATCGAAGAGACGAATCGCATTCGCGTTTCGCTGGGCATGAAGCCGTTGCCGGTTCCTGGCGCCGCCCCAGCCGAATCACAGCATGATGATTCTGCATCAGAGGAAGAGGATGCGTCTGCCACACTTGAAGGACGTCAGGCGCAAGCATACGACAACTACCAAAAGGTTCGCGACGCCGAAGCCGCCAAGCGCAAACGAGAAGAACGAGCCGCCGCCGCGAAAAGGGAAAGAGAAGCAGCGCAGCGCAATGCAATCTTGGAGGGCAAGGGTCTCGGCGAAGCCGACGAAAACGACGTGGACGCAAAGGCATGGTTGAAAGCGCAGAAGAAGCGGCAAAAAGCCATCGAGAAGGCTAGAAAGTTGGAGGAGGAACAGGCAGCGGCTGAAGCAGCTGCGCTCGCGGCAGTCGAGTACACCTCCAAAGACCTTGCTGGTGTTAAGGTTGCACACGAACTGGACAACTTTCTCGACGGCGACGAACAGATCTTGACCCTGAAGGACTCGACCATCGAGCAGAATGAGGAAGATGGTGACGAACTAGAGAACATGGACGTCAAGGCCAGAGAGCAATTGCAGGAGAGGCTAGATCTCAAGAAGAAGAAGCCAGCTTACGATGTCTTTGCTGCAGCGGATGAAGAAGGCGAACGTGGCATCTTGGCTCAGTACGATGAGGAAATCTACGGCAAGAAGGGCAAGAAGTTCACCCTGGATGGGTCTGGCGCAATTGCTGAGTTGGGAGATATTCTTGGAGCACCAGAAAAGGTCAAAAAGCTGCAGAGCATTGATCTTGATGTCATGCGTAAGTACTACCCAGCTAAACCTTGTCACATTGGGACGTCACTAACCCTCCATCCAGAAGACGCCCCTACTTCAGATTATCTTGATATCTCAGAGATCAAGGTGAAGAAGCCGAAGAAGAAGAAGAACAAGTCAACAAGACAGAAGCCTATTGATGAGGACGACATCTTCCCCCTTGATGCGACACAGGCAGACGACAACGAGATGGATGTAGACTCTGGCGCGGTTATCAGCAAGAAGAGACGCAAAGTGGAGGACGACAACTTTGTTGATGACGACGATTTGCAGGCTTCCCTGGCCATCCAGCGGAAGAGCGCATTGAAGAGGCGGAAGAAGAACCGACCCGAGGACATTGCTCGACAACTCAAAGAACAGGCAGATGAGCCGGACAATGAGGCTCTCAATGGCGGTGTAGTCATTGATGAGATTTCCGAGTTTGTGTCCAATCTCAAGAAGTCAGAGGAGGAGGAAGAGCGCAAAGCAAAGAGGCCAAAGTCCACGTCAGTAGAGCCTGTGACGGCCATGGACGCCGACGACGACGAAGATCACCCAATGGGCGAAGATGCCTATGAAGTTCCCGAGGACAGAGCCAGAGAGGCATCTGCAGAGATTGCAGCAACTGGAGTTGACGAAGAGAAATCACTCAACACCGGTATGGGTTCAGCTCTGGCTCTACTCAGGGAACGTGGTCTTATCAAAGACTCTCATGGTGCGGAGCGAAACATGAGCGAACGCCAAAAGGCCGAATTCCTGGCAGAAAAGAGACGTCTCGAGAGGGAGCAAGAAGACCGGGCCAAGTACCAGCGAGAGCGCGACAGAAACAGCGGCCGGCTGGATTCCATGTCCGTTAGAGACAGAGAGGAGCGCGCCCGACAAGCAAACGCCCACCGCGAACTGCAGCAATCACGCGTCGTCGACGAGCTTTTCAAGAAGCACTACAAGCCCAACGTGGAGCTCAAGTACGTGGACGATCACGGCAGATCTCTCGACCAGAAGGAGGCCTTCAAGCACATGAGTCACCAGTTCCATGGCAAGGGCAGCGGCAAGGGCAAGACCGACAAGCTGCTGAAGAAGATTGAGGAGGAGAAGCGACGCGAGGCCAAGCCGACGTTTGACGCGAGCGAGAACGCAAACATGAGTTCATCATCGGCGAAGCGGCAGGCCGGTGTTCGATTACAATAAAAGGCTAATCGGGTTGGTGTCGGGACCATGGACCAGGAAAAAGGTGCAGACCCTTTAATATGTACAATCCAAATTGAAGTTTATTCCCTGCTGACACAACGCTCAACTCTTCAGACGCCCCCGGTTGGTTTGCTGACGCTTTCTTTGTGATACTCATCCATCCCTTTCAAAAGTCAGATGTACAAAGTTGTACACACTGGCATCCCTTGTGCTGATCTCTTGCTTCAGAGCAGGGCAGAAAGCATGGTCCTTCTTTGACCATGATCGTTCCGGCCAAGTGTCTCGGTTCTTCTTCATTGTCCACTACGACTGCCCCAGTTGCCGGCTGTCATGATGGACCTAGCAGACTCTCCCAGCTCCAGCGTGGCTGGCGGGGTATTTCATTTCTTGACCGTACTGGTGTGACAGGTGACTCGCCCAGGCTCTCGTACTCCCTCTGCGCCTCGTCAATCATTCTAAATATGTCGTCCATGTTGAACGCCGATGTCGTCCGCCTCGGCGGCATGCCAATAAGCTCTGGCGTCTGGCCGCTGCTCTCAATCGCATCCGTGACCTCCAACATGAGATCCTCCATCAGCGACGAGACGCAGGGTGAAAAGTCGGCCGAGAACTCAGACGACGTGAAAGACAGCGGGCTATCCGGCTTGCTAATACTGCTGCTCTGACTCGGCTGACGTCTCAGAGGCGTGACGTTCCGGCTCGTCGACGACGCGGACGCCGTCGCCGCCGTCGGTATCATGTCGCTACCGCTGCCAATGCTGTGCGTCCGACACCGTTGTTGTAAGCGGGCCCGTCTCTGGTCCCGCCTCGATCTGATAATGTCACGGACGGCGTTGCCGTGGAACTCGCAGTCTGCTGCTGCCGGTGAGCCGCGGTAGCAGTCCCTGCGGCCGCAGATGCCGTGTGTGAAGACGTCTGGGTGCGTGACTCTGAAGTTGAGCATGCCTTGCCTGCCTGCGCCTGTACTGGTCATGTTGGGCTATGTATGACAGTGTACGTGTGGATGAGCCTTTGTGTGTAAGAATGAGAGGGAAAGTTGGCGAGGAGCTTGCTACTACGAGATGCTCATGTCAAGCCTCAATGTAGGCCAAGAGATGTATGCGCTAGATGAGAGGTGAGTACACGGGGCTTGATAGGTAGGTAGCTGAAGATGGAAGAAGAACCATGATATTTACCTCTTGAGCTTAAGAAAAGCCTCAGCGCCCACGTTTTCCTTTCCCCCGCGTTCAGCTAGTCGTGAAAGCCAGGTCTCCGCCCGCTCTTGTGAGTTTGAGTCGATGTCGCCTTTGAGCTTCTTTGGCACTTGTAACCCAACCCAACCCTTTGGGAACCCTCCTTCAGCTTTTATCTTGCTCTCTTTTTACCCCGTTTCAAGGTACACACGCGAAAAGGCGTCTGCGGCGCTGCTGCTAGAAGGGAAATCTCTCAGAAATCTCCTCTTCTTCTCTCGGTAGCGAAAAGCCCGGCCCCCGACTAATTCTGGAAACGGTCTGCTTGGAACAAAGGGCTGATCTGCCAGTGTGGCGTTGGACTTTTCCTTATTTTCTATCCTTTTTTGAGTTCAGGCGGAAGAGTAGGCGATGGTAGGTGAGAGTAAAGCCCGTAAGATCAGGTACTACACGTGCGCTGAGGAAAGTCTGATCGCCTGTCGTTTTTGGCGTAGGTCTTTGTGGAAGGAGAGGCGGATGAATGACAGGGCAGAAGAAGGAGAGAAGTAAGAGAAGAACACGATCAAAATGAAGCAAAAGAAACCGGACAATCGAGGTAATATCTGCCGTACGCCTTTTCTCCCTTTCTCACCACTCGAACCCAAGAAAAAAACGCCCACGTTTCGTGTTGTTTGCTTTCATCAAACTCGAGGATCGCGATGGTGCGGGATTGTTGGTTTTGCTTGCTTACACATAACACAATTACTGTGTCTTTCGGTCCATCCTCTCCAATCCTCCCCATGCCCCAGAGGTCTGAGTCTCCCTTTGACGTTCCAATGAACCCAGTCGCAAGTACTGTCCCTAGGCGACCTTAATCTCCAGGATGAACCGTAACTCCGTCGGAGGATTTGCATTCCAATCGACCCTTCCTTCCCGCTAGTTGCTGTTTCGGTTGTCGTTCTTCCCTCCCCTCATATTTCCCCTTGCAACATGAGTGTGAATCTCCCCTCCTCCCCCCCACGTGCAATCGGGATCGATCCTCCATGTTTGACGAGCGGGAAAGTACGACCACTCCCCCGTGTAACACGATTCTATTGAGGCTGAACAACGTGTATCAAGGGGCGAATTCAATGTTTTAGAAGAATCGTGATTCCCTCTTCGACGTCATCATCGCGATGTGGTACCATGTGTGTGATACGTCCTCGATATTCGCAATATGTGCTGTTGATATTCCTCCCGCCTCTGCGCCATACCATTGCCTCATTCTCAAGATCCGGATGGTTTACAAAAGCGTCCAAGACGTAACGCCGCGCCGCCGCCGCGGGGTGTGCCACATCAGCCCACATAGAAAAGTCCAGGTCTCATGACAGCGGACCTTGCCGTAAGCCCATATGCCATATGCCATAGTTCCACTTAGAGGGCGGGCGCCTTTTTCCCAATGTTCCAGCATCTAAGACAACCCAAATAACCGAAAAAAGAAGGAAAAGCGAAAGGAACACCAGCTCGATGGGCCGATCTGGCCAAGACTGAGAAAGGAACAGGGGTAATTCAGAGGTGGGAATAACAAGCCGTCGAAAAAAAAGGCCGAAAAGTAGAGACGATATCTTCAAGCACCAGCCTCTGGAGGGACCTCCTTGCCCTTGATCACAGCGTCGGCTTCCGTGAGTTGTTCCATGCCGCCGCCGCCTGCTGCCAGCCCGCCCGCGGACGACCGCCGCGACACGATCCACCACGTCAGCGTCAGGACCGTGAGCCAGGCGGCGACCCAGGTGATGACTACGCGCGGGGAGCGGCGGCGTCGCGGGGCGTAAGGGGAGAAGTTGAGGCTCGGCATCGCGTGCAAGGGGGGGCCGGCGCCGCTTTTCGTGTAAGATGTATGTGAGATGTGTTGATGTGTTTGGGTTTGAAATTGTGCCCCCTTAGGTTGGTCGTGGAAGGCAAACGTTGATAGATGTTGACTGCGGTTGCCGGATCGTACAGAGAATAGAAGGATTCATGAGATAGATAGCACACTCTGATACTAAGATGAGATCAATTGATGATTTGATGTTGTAACGAGCGTGAGGTTCGATGAAAGCCGTCCTGATGAAGGGGTGTTCAAGCCTGGGATAAACAGTGAGTGGGTCACTTGACGCCAGGCATGCCAAGCACTGTTTTGCGCACCGTGTTTGCTTGGTGTAATACATGAACAAGAACGAGCAACCGTTTGCCCTTGATTTTCATATTCCTTTTCATATATATTACTTGATAGCGTGTCAAAGATACTAGGTATCAGAGTAAAATTGAATCAGAAGAAGAAGAAAACAAGGCAGTGGCCTAGACCCAAGAATAGGGACGATGTATATCGGCGCTGATCATCCCTAGCACTCAAAGGTAAACTTCAAGGGATTCTTAAGGACTCAGATCAATTTCATGCTCATTAAATAGAAGAGGTTTAATTGAATATTCGGGTTTGTCCTCAAGAAATACAAAACTCCCTGGATCTCTTAGAGCTTTCTCAATGCTACAGCGCGATAGAGGGAGGCATGAAAAGAAATTACCTACATCAATCTTACGGTGACGCCTGTAGTAATCATCAGTGGCCTACAGTTACGAAGGAAACCACCATGGATTCGTGAAAACTGAAGCTTGGTCATTGAAAGAGTAAGAGATGCTTGAGTGACCACATTGAGTCTATTCACAGAGCCATGCGGCTGTTCTATGCAGTGTACTGATATACAAGTTTATGACTTGTGTTTTCTTGTCTCTTTGCGCATCAGGCGCTGACAGCCGCCCCAACCCGATTACTAAACCAACCAACGCCAAAGCCAAAGCCAATACCCTGTTACAAACGAATACTTGCACCAATTCCCTGACCCTCGTACCAGACCGTATCTTTCCAATTCCCAATCCGCACAGTGACATTCGCACTTGCATCGAGGGTTAGGGACCCTCCAATCGCTCTCTTCACGGCGTCATAGCCCACAGATCCCGCAGACCAGTCTACGGGCAGCCTGGGCGTTAAAGACGTTCCCGGGGGTGCCGCGAAGGGCAGGCCATAGACAATACGACCAACCGGCTCTGTGTGGTTGTACAATGCTGTAGCGTTGATCCAATCGACATAAATGGTGTTATACCGTAGCGGAGACACCAGGGTAAACGTCGCTGTAGAACCAAGCACATGGAAAGTCGCATCTCTAATGAAGTGTCCCTTCTTCTCGCCTTCTCCTGGAAGATCCAACTTCGGAGCGGCGATGCTGATGTTCAGCTTTGATAGCCCCTCACCTATCAGAGGGGCAGTCGGAATCGTGCCTCTGTGAGTCTTCACGTCTATTGTGACGTTGCGCCCGGAGAGATATTCTGATATCATATCACTGGCAATCTTGCGACCAGCTTCACCCTCGGCGGTCGGATCCCAATTCGCTCTAACAAGCAAATTTGTGTTGTTGCCCTTGTCGACTCTCATATTCTCAGCAGTAGCACTGCCAAGCACGAAACCGTCCCTCACGATGTGTATGTTGATATATGGTATGGAGGCTGTGTACGGTGTCGGATTTGTGATATTGACCAACGCCTCAAGCGTCATCGCTGAGGAAGAGGTGCTGATGATTTTCACATCTCCCACTTGTGGGTGGATGCTACCAAAGGTGTCGCCAGGGAGAGCTGCACCAGTGTAAGCCTCTATGCTCGCTCAGTTCCCCTTAGTGAGCAGGGACATAAGAAATCAACCCACGATAAGACAAACAGTGCCGGACTTAGTACGGACGTTTTACCGGGATTTTGCCCTCAGCAGGGACATCCTTCAAGACCAAGTTTCCAAGAGCCGTGTTGACACGAATGTCGACACCGGCCTTGACGTCCAACAGGACCGACTTTCCACCAAAAAGGAGTCTTTGCATTACGTCGGTCAAGACATCGCCATCGGTGATATTTAGGGGGGCGTCAATGACCCGTGATGTGATTCTCAGAAGAGGCTCGTGTTTTTCGTCGCCGGCCTCTTTCGTCGAGTTAGCAGACTGCCACCTGTCGAGGTTGAGTTCCCCGAGTTTCTTGTGCTGGTACATGACGTCTGCTGTGGCTCTTAGATCCGTGACATTGATGTCAAAGTTCATCTCTTTCGGGAGACTCGCGAGGACCTCGACCGTGCCCGAAACTTTTGGCGATCCATCGGGGTCGTCTGGGTCCGCCATAGGATCGGGCAGTTGAAAGTTCACGTCAGTGAGGGAGAAGCTCTTAATGAGATTGTCAAAACCCTGGCCTGGGAAGGGAACGGGAACAGTGATTTCGGACAGGATATCGCCGACCCAGTCCGGGGTGTCTGATTCGGGCATTTTGCGGCCGCGAACGTAGACAGTGGCGGCCTCGCCATGCATGTACTGATCCAAGAATTTGTCCAGAGGTGACGACTTCGAGTTAGGGCAAACTCGTGTCAAGGACTTTGGAAGCTCCCGGATGATTCCAGAGACATTGACAGTGACATCAGTTCGTGGCTTGATTGAGAGGGGCTTAGTTGTGGCGTCGGCGAGAAGAATGTAGGGATCGAAGGAGTTGCAGTTGGGAACCAGAACTTCAAAGCCAAGTTCCGGTACATCTAAGCTGACGGGAAACTCATTATAGGCGGTGATGGCTATGTCGGCACCAACGGCTGTTCGCTGGCCTTCCGAGTCTGGCAAGTCCCGGAAGTTGAGGCGCGAAATATTGTACTGTGGCAGCGTTGGGATTTGGTTCGCTAAATGAGGCATCAGTATGGAGCTTAAGGGGACGTGTTGTGATTGAAGCATAGTGATATTTAAAGCAGAACTTTTTCTCCAAAGTACAGAGAAGCAAAGGAGCGGTAGAGTGATTGACCTTCAAATACCAAGACCTCGCTCACTGGATGAGTGCCGAGTGGGAGGATTCCGGACTTGAGTGGAATATTGGCCTTTCCAAGCACCTTGAGCTGGTCGAGCTTTCCATCTAGCCATTCGTTGGCAATCTTTCGATATGCTTCGGCGTCGCCGGGCGACAGTTCGGCGATGAAATCGATCGCGGTGGTCTGGCCATCGACGATGCTGATGGTGAGCGGCGGCACAACGGCAGTGCCAAGCAAAGCGTCCTCGTATTCTGGCAAGAACACGCCGACCTTTGTCTGCTCCGTTCCCAATTGCCTCACAATCCAAGTCGCAAACTTTCCAATCCTTCGAGACGTCGTGTCCTGCACCCTGGAGCCGTCGAGCTTGAAGTTCGCCTGAACCCGTGCCCGCACACCGTCTGTCGTGATTGA